GCGTGTCCTTGGAGGCCTCTGGGGGGTGACTAAAGGCCCTCGGAAACTAACGGTGTCAGCTCAATTGCTCGTTGAGTTTGTGTTGGCTGCCGCCATTTTGGAAATGCCAGCGGGAACAGGTCAAAAATTATCGATAGCATGATTTACAGCGTGTGTATTGTTGAAGGCTTGATGCGCAGGGAACAGATGGCAAAGGATGCACCAATGCCCCCCCCATTTGCCTTTTTGTTGTCGATGCCCTTGCGTTTGGGCTGCAGTTCTAGCAGGCCTTCTTTGATGCGGCTCAAGTTCCTTGGCTTAAGCACCTTGTACTTGGGACTATCCTGGAAAATTTGCATGGTGGGCGTATTTGTAGGTAATGTTGTGCAGCATGTAAATTTTCCCCGTGTTTTGACCAAGGTGCAAGCACTTGGGCGGTGCACACATGGTATGAAAATGTTGCTTTTGGGCACAAAATTGGCCAGACTGTTCTGGGTCTGTTTGTCGAGAGTTCATGTGAAGGCTGTTATGGATGTGAACCCAAGGTGCTTCGGCAGCCTTTTCGTCAGTTTCTTTGTTGCACGCACGGTTGGTGTTACTGTGCTGCTGATCCGCACTGGGACGTTTTGCATTTTCAGTCCGCTGCAAGCTTAGTACATGAAGGGTGGGCAAGAGTTGGAGTAAAGGACCGCCTCTGTTACCACAGATGGCAACATTGTGTTGCCGTTGATTCGAAGTCAAAACAAGGCCCGCATAGGGGACGCTGTGACTGTGACACCTTGAGCGTTGAGAGTATGAACGCTTTCAAACAACTGCAGGTTTTGGCCACCTCTGCACAGGATTCGTGCAAAAATGGCGACTTGTGCTTTGGCATTGTAGGTGAGGGATTGCATGCATGTGAGGCAAGAGAAGAACAGACAAGCAGGCACACAGCACTGGCAACCCGAGGTGTTTGGAGAACAAATGCACGGATCGCATCTTTTTGACCGTTACTTGCTTGCAGATGATGATCAGTGGAGCATTAGGCTAGGACATATAAACTGGATGCGGCGTGGTGTTGTTCATAGCTGAATGTGATTACTGAACGTGCAGCAGCTGCCGGCAATGTAGGACGTGACTGAGGCTCAGTGCATGGCTACATCCCAGGACGTGGACGTTTGTCCTGGATCGAAAGCACTTCAGCTGGTTTGGGCTGTGTAGGAGGATTAAGAAGCATCTAAATCCAAGCATTTGAATGCTGTGATTTGGGTTCTCATTGTAGGGAAGTACCTACCGGCAAAATTTTCCAAGACTTTCGCCTATCCAAGACCAAGGTATGTGTGGACAAATCAACAAAAGGCCATGTTTGCATGCTCAGCACGTGCGCATTTTTCCGATTTCGTGCCCTTGCTGCCCCACATCCCTTGACAGACACTGACGGGAATCTGCTGGTGCGATTCCAGTGCTGTTGCCCCTCCTGTCAGAGCGAGAGCGCGGACAGCGCCTTCCTTGCAATGATGCAGACAGTGGACCTAGAGCAGTGTTGAATTTGTTTTCGCTGAGGATTGACCGATCCCACTGTTGTAGGTTGTCTTAGGCACGATTACAACTGGTTGGATTGTTTGATTCTGCTTGCAGTACGCACTGGTAACGCTAGTAACGCTAGTAACGCTAGTAAGTATGATTTGCATGCGAGGCGCCGAGTGAGGCGGGAGCAAAGATGTACCTACTCGTGATGACAGATTGAAGCATGCTGAAAACTGTCTGCACAAGGTGGGCTGATAGTGTTTTGTTGTGGCAGGTTTAGCATGATGGCTGCCGGCTCGAATGTAGATCGCACGTGTCCAGCCAGTCATGTAGACTTTGAATCGCAACCACCAGTTCCCGTGCGGCTCTGGTCACATTGCAGTCGTGGCTGTTGTGTGCCATAAGCAAGTTACTCACAAATGGCATGCTGCACAAGGTGCTATGATGGTCAGCAATGTAGAATTTGTGCCAAGCAGTACGCAGGATCTTTGCAATGCTTCGTAGCTGTGTGCTGGGGAGCCTTGCTTGTGCTTGGAGCCAAGCGGCAACGCTGGATTGCGGTCACTTAGACCGATCGAACTCATTAGCGGTCTGCTGTGATGCACAGCTGGCATGGTCATCCATGGAGTCTGCTGGTGGGTGTGGTGGTCATGGCGCAACAGAAGCGCAGTGCTCGGCAGCTTCCGATTTGTGCCAGCAATGCCGCACGGCCGTTGCAGCTCGTGCAGACACAGAGACAGAGGACGGTGCTGCAGAGGGGGCTTTGCTGTCATCGTTGGACGTAGGTTTCCTGGAGCTTCACTGTGTCCTGCCGCAGTGGCATGATGCATGCCAGAGTTCTGTGGCAGACCTAGGGTTTGCTTTACTTCTTCTTGCTGGAGGCTTGCTTATGCTATTAGCAGCGGGTGGGCTTTTACTTTTTGATTGGTATGCGCTGCCTGGCCTGGTCTCGGCAGCAAAGCCGCTGCCGCCTTCACAAGCAGCTGCTGCCTCCAAAGTTGGCCAGTCCGGAGCTCACAAACGAGACAAACGCTTCCGGTCCTCATGGCTCTGCTAGCTGCCCTCAGAGAGGCCGCAGCTGGAGCGTTGCACTGTTGGCCAAGAACTCGGGAAAGGGGTCAAGGAGCCCTACGGAGAGAAGCCAGCTGAGGAGTTGCGGATGCTTTGCGCATGGCAGCTGCAGTGCCCATGGACATGATGACGCCACAAAGGCTTGAAGGCGGGCTGTTGCATGAGGCACAACAGAGTCCATGCAAGTACAAGTGTGTTCAACTTGGCAGGCATGCCGCTAGCGCACGCGCTGCGACATGTTTTCCTTTTCATAGCATTGGCCGCAGTTGTCCTCCGCGTAGTTTGGGGCCCTGACATGACGTACAGAACCAGAGCATGGGCGTCCCTGATTTGAACCTAGCTTCGACTGCTTCATGAAGCTGCTTGAGGCCACGCTTGTTGCCTTCCTGATGCTTGTACCTGGGTCTGGGTCTCAAAACCACTGAAAGCATCTACATCCTTGAAAGTTGGAGGCGATCCTTGGGCTCAAAGGCAGAGGCAACTGACGGACGTGCTGCTGGAGACGCTTTTGTGCCTATTGCCGTTCCTTTGGTGCGTGTGAACCTTATGTGTTCTTGCCACTAATTACCTTTGCTCCCACACAGCACACAGATCAGGCCTGCTCCACTCGGCTGTCCTCAAGCTTTGTGCAGACCTCATCAGAGCATGCGCCTAGGCCATGACGTCATGAACGTGAGCACACCAATATGTCGTAACCAAGACCGCCTCCGCCTCTCATCTCGCCTTCTGTGGTCCTGGCCAGAGGCAAGAAGCTACATCTCCAGTCATAAACCATCTTCAGTCTGGATTGATGGCTGTGAGCAGTACCCGACCACAGAAGACATGAACAGTCCTGAAGCGCACAGAGAAAATTTGCCGGTTTCTCGTTATTGGAGGCAAAGACACTGAGAGCATGATGAGAGTTGGGCAAGAGGCTTTTTGGCGAGAGCAAAAAGCTCGTAGCACTTGCTACGCCTAGACGTTTTGATGATTGCGTGATAAGTCGTACGAAGCAGTATGGCTGGCTAAGATTCGGCAGGTAGACTAAAGCAACGGCCTTGCCATGTAGACTAAAGCAAAGGCCTTGCCATGCGTAGGAAGTCTTGCCTGGTGAGGCTTCCAAGATTTACAACTTACGCGGTGCTCACAGTTGGCTCCGAGTTGCGCCGGGCCTCAACTGATTAAAAAACGGGAGACAGGTTTTTGGACTTCACTTGGACGTTTTCAGGTACAGCACTCTGGCAGCTGGCTTGGTGGCTGTGCTGAGGTCTTTTCAGATGAGTAGTTCGTGATGCTACACAGGTGCTGTCCTACGCCGTCGCCACAGCTCCCTGCGATGTCCCGCCTTGGAAGCCCATCACGGTGGGCCAACATTTCACGGAAGCATCTGTGGAACTGTGTGTGGGCAGTTCTATTGCTTCGGAGTCTTGGTCGCAGTCATCAGATGCTACTCGGCAGTCGTTGCTGGAGCCTGAGCGTTGCTTCCTACAATGTATCTGTCATCGTACTACATGAAGCAAGCACATCCACTGAAGATCTCTGCAAAGGGAGTGCAACAAGCGGAGTTTGTTTCAAGTAGTCTTGCTTTGACTCGTGTGTAGCATGAAGGCCTTGCGTCTTCAAGATGCAGCTGCGGGAGCTTGTCGAAGAATTCTTCCCAAGGCCGTGGTTTGACGTCTCCAGGTCCAAGTTACGAGCACTCAGCTTCTGCCAGGATGCCTGTGATCTTGAACCTGTCGCCGAGGGTGGCATCCCTAACAGAAGTTGGCATGTCTGGCCAGTCCTTTCTTGTGAGGCGATATCCAATGTAGCATTCAGGACGAGGACACCTGGCCAGTGCATGATGCATTACATCACTGAGGCGAGTGCATGAGGCCACAGGTATGTTGCACGTATGTTGCAGTCTTGGACATGCTTTGCACCCATGGCTCTCAGCTTAGTTGCAGGACAGGTAGAAGATTCAGTTCGCAGCACCCTTTGTCCAAATCTTTTTATCCCAATAGTTTCCTTTGAAGCTCGTTGACAGATTTCCATGGATGTTGTAGATGATGCTTGTGATGGCGCGGGAGAGCCCCTCACAAGAGAGTCACTGCATGCGTCAATAAGGACGGCCTTACCCCCTCCAGCTCTTCAGAATCGGCTTCTCGCCATTCTGCTTTACCTCGATGAGAGATTGGGGAGCGCAGGCATCCCGTACTGGGTCACTGGAGGAACACTTTTGGGTGCCGTGCGTCATGGGGGGTTTATTCCACATGATGACGACTTGGATATTGAACTCTTGGAAGATGACTGGCCCCAAGCGCAAGAGGCGCTGGGCGAAATTGGATACAGCTTTCGGGGACTTGGCTGTTGGCCAGGTAGTGCGGTGGCAATGGGCCGTGTTTTCTGCTGGGGAACCGACGGCCGTTTTTCAGAATCGGTCGACATTTTCCTGCGCGAGCGCCGGCCACTCATGGGCCTTGCAGAGTTTCCATCAGACGATGAGGTTTTCCCCTTGATGAAGCTTCGCTTTCACAACCTACTGATTCCAGCTCCCCGGAATGCTCCGGATTTCCTGTCGCGTTGCTACGGAAACAACTGGGCAAGCGAAGTTCTTGTTTGGAGCCACTCCTCTCGCGCGCGCAAGCTTCTCCGAGTAGCACTTGCTGCCTATCTGACTGCTGTAGATGCAAGTGGCTACCGCGCACCTCAGGTTCTTGCAGCAGATTCTGCAACAGAGAGCTTGGCTGCCGTAGGGTTGGATAGTCAAGGCAACCTCCAAGCGAAGCTTTGGGAAAGCCTGGGCTGGGCCTCGCCAATGCTCCCAGACGAATGGAGCGGTGAAGATGATGGCGTATTGGCCTTGCTGGGCCTTGAAGTTCAGTATTGGCCATTGCACTGCGGTCTAGGTCGAGAGCTGCAGGCACGGCTGCAGAAGCTAGAGGAAAGTGAGAGGACCGCTGCAGTGAAGCAGCTCGAAGTGCGCACGGGTTGCTTCCTCGAGCTGATTTTGAGTTGTGGAGGGACAACCACGGCTTCGCAGCCTGGCTGTGAGGTGTTGCATCAGCCGTGCATGCTGAGAGCTGTCGGTACAAGCTACGAGCTGTCAAATGTCGAACCGTCCCTGCGCGAATGGCTGTGCTGAGCACCTAGGTTGTGGGATCGGAGCCATAGTTGTTTCACACCGCATTGATAAAGTGCCAGAGGCACTACAGTATCCCCTCACTTGCGAAGTTTTGAGCAACCCGCCATGGCCCTGGCAATAGGAAAGCCACTGAACTCAAATGTGTTCACGTCTGAAGCGCAGAAGCGATTGTCTCTGTCAATTGGAATTGCCTAGCGCAGGAGCTCCCTGATACAGCTGGCAGCTCTCTGACGCAGGCTGGCTGAGATGCGGGTTTCCAAGATTCAGAGGTAGGCTCCCGTCCTCCTGTGCTGCACTTCCGCTAGGCGGCAGGTATCTCTGCAGGCATTTTGTTCCGACTAAGAATCTTTCTCAGGCAAGGTTTGCTGGAAAGGTTCTATAGAGTGTAAAGGCACCACATACAGGTTCGTATGAAGCCTTGCATAGAGCTAGATCGATCTAGGAAGAAATAGTAGAGGATGGAATCTGAAGCTATGGACATGAATCAGCCGCTCCAGGAGAGGAGGCGGTTTCTGAGCGGACTTGCCTGGAACAGGCCCGTCCCACTATTGGCAGAGTCGACGGATGCCGAGCCATCGCTTCAAGAGACTGGCACGAGCGTCTTGTATATGCTGGACTTCATGCAGAAGGTTGAAGTATTCCAAAACCTGTCCGAGGAGGAGATGTTGCAACTTGCGCAGGCTTTCAGCACGCGCAATGCTCAAGACGGGGAGAAGTTGGTTCAGGAGGGTGATGAAGGGAGTGAGCTGTACTTCATAGAGTCGGGAACAGTTTCGGTTCGTAAGGTCGAACTGAAGAGTCTGGGTGGTACAGTCAATTCCGTAGAGGAGCAGGAGCTGACCACGCTGAGCCAGGGAGAGTACTTTGGGGAAACAGCTTTGGTCGAGAAGGTGCCCCGAAATGCCTCCGTTTATGCAGTTGGCGACGTACGTCTCCGAGTCCTGACAAGAAACTTGGCTTAGGATTTGTGGTAGGCACTCTTTTGAGTGCACCCCGGGCCGTGATGTAGGTACGCTGAAGTGATTCATATGCCCAACACATGCCGGTATAGCTTGATTTGTAGAGTCTCTTTGCATCCATTGCGATTTTCAAGAGATCCTTTCTTGGACCGTGAGCGGTCAATCAACAAATCAATCTATCATTCAGCAGCGTGTCAAGGAGAGCATTTCGAAAGGTTCGATCTGCACAGGAAGTTGGACCTTGAGCTGAAGCATTCCAATATGAAAAATGGCTTGCAGGAGCTTCTAAGAAATATGGTGACACTGAGAACCTTTTTCAAGTCCTGCGCTTTGCTTGGGGCTTACTTCCTGTTGGCTGTGCTGATCTTCTCCAACTTGGAGGGTTGGAGTTGGGTCGACTGTGTATACTTCTCCATCATTACTCTGATGACCGTGGGCTATGGCGACTTTGCTCCAAAGCACTGGGGCTCGAGGCTGACCTTGGTTTTCTTTGTGTTGATCTCACTGATCATCGTTGCAACGAGCATCGGCGAATTCCTGGAAGGCCTGGTGACCCTGGAGATTCGAAATGAGCGAGCCCGGAAAGTGTTGCAGCTGAAGCAAGCTCGCGTCGGAGTCTTCGACAAGCTGGGGCAGAAGAGGCGCTGGAGGAGCAAGGCGCTGGGATGCCTGGCAGCACTCCTCACGCTGCTGGGCATTAGTTCTGCGATTGCAAGAGGCGCAGTGCAAAGCTGTCAGACATGGGCTGATGCATTGTATTTCAGCGTGGTAACTCTGTCCACGATTGGATATGGTGACCTGACGCCCCAGGCAAATCCTGGAAGCAAAGTCATAGTCAGTATTCTGGCTCTTGTTGGGGTGCCTGTGTTTGCCATTGTCTTGGCTAAGATCGTGGAGATTGCATATGGAAGGGCCAAGAGCAGCAGCATGCCCTGTGTAGTCGGTGGCTTGACAAATGAGAAATTCGATCAGTTGGTCGATTTCACCGACAAGCTCTGGCGGGCTGGAGGCTGCCTGGGCGACTTTTTTGTGCGTGTTGGTTGGTGTTCCTTGTTGAACTCTGAGTAGGCCGGGGCTTATGGGATTGCGATGACCTAGGACTTCTGGTTGTCTGTCCCTGTGTGAGGCTACAACTCCCATCCCCAACAAAGTCTTCGAGAGCAGATCACTCCTTTTGAGTTTCTGTGCTTCATCCTGACACAGAATGACACTGTTTCCCTGGACGAGATCAAGCTCATCATGGCAAATTTCTCAGAGCTGGACTTGACCAAGACCGGGCTGCTGGAGCAGCAGGATGTTGATGAATGGTTGAGTCGGGGCTCTTGCAACCCAGCAGGCCTTACGTCATCCTCCCCAAGGAAAGGCAATAAGTTTACAAGCCTCACGACACGCTCCACAGCAAGTTCAAGTTCTGGCTCTGGCGGTTTGGGCTTGTCTCCAACTTGACTTCTGTTGACGGCGAGAGTCAAAGACTCAGGCCGTCGTAGGCTAGCGCGACTGGGTCAGCTCTCATCGGATCTACCGCCGCGAAAAACCGTTTGTAGGCGGTGTGGAACTAGTTGATGGAAGTGCAGGCTGATGGGAAATCCAGGCAAGTTGCAGCTGGGCATGGAATCCTGCTGTCTCGTTGAAATTTAAGTTGGAGTTGCCGCTCCATTCTTGTCAGGCGTTGCTGGCGGATCACCGGCACAAAGGCCTTGCAGTGTTCCCGAGAAGGAGGCAAAAGATGCAGTACACTCAGGACCAAACTCTGGCAGAAGCGGCACCTGATGTGTGCCGCTCACCTTCGAAATGCTGCCCAGCACGCTCCCTACACTGTGGCTTACATCTTTTGATGCTAAGCCGACAGTTCTGCAGGCCAGGCAGAAATTGTGGGGACGGCGGCTGCTGATCCGCGTCCGGCTCCAATTGCAGTTTCCCCTGCAGAGATAAGACTGAACGTGGTCTTGACGGCATGCTTCAGTTTGAGGGGAGCTCCAAATCTTTGAGGTTGCCGCTGCTGTGGCGCTTGTGTCTGCCGTGGCTTCGGCTGTAATTGTGCGAGCCGTGGTGGGTGAGGCGCCGCTTGATGTTGATTGTTGCACCTGGGAATTTCAAATATGATTTCAAGGGTCTCGGTGTCTGTCAAGCTTGAAACCAGGCTGCAGCTCCCGTGCAGCCATCCTCATGTGGCGTTGCCCGCAACTCCACCACCACCTGCCAGAGCCTTATGGTCAGCATAGCAAGCATATGCAAGCACTCTGCGGCCGTACTGTTCTTCCATTGTGCTCGCAACGTAGCGGAGGTGTGCCCTGGCGCCTGGCAGGGGTCCATCTTGTTGACCGAAAGACCGGTACTTTTGGCTCGAAGTTTTTACGAGTGCTTGTGAAGAGCAACGCATCTTTCTGAAAGGTGAGTTGCAGATGGACCTGACCAACACCTTGGAGGTGTTCACAGGACAGGCAATAGGGCCAATGTAAAGTGTGGCAACGTGACAGGAGTGCTGCTCGGGCTGCGATGGTCTCGCTGACTGTCAGGTGCACCCGTCTGTCAGGTCATACCTTAAAGATGCTTTGCTCAGCTTCTTTGGACCTTTTCATAAGATATGTTGCTACACTCCCCACCTTTTGGTGATATGCTCGGTTACCACTTCCCTCTCCAACCTTTTGACTCACAGCACATATGTTTGGGAGCACATGCCAGCTGACATCGGGGCTGACAAGTCACGGACAGGGTTCCCTTCTGCAGGCCTGGATTTTCGAGCGTATGGCGAAGCGCGCCACTCTCAGGGATGCAGCTTGGTCACATGCGGCAACTGTAGCACGCTTGCGGTGTACAACGTGAGGCTGTCGATGGATCCAGTTCGACGATGCTGTATGTAGGCAAGACCCAGGCGATTTGCGCCCTGTCCTCAGATGTTCGTCCGCTCAGACATTTTGGACCACTTCTCGCTCCAAAACTTTAGCAACAACAACAGCCTGCATGCAATCAAGCCAGATTGAGCCAGCCAAAGCCCAAGTGATTGTACCAATGTGATTACAGACGTTGATGTGACACATGACGGAACATGGATTTCTGGAGGAAAGCTACCAGGGGTAGGCCACTGCAAAGATGATCTGTAAGCCTCTCCTTAGGTCCAATGATGCCAATTTTTTTCTGATCTGAATTTCGAGGCTGCAGATGCTACACTAATTGGGGCACGGTGACAGCCCAAGTTCCCTGGACCAGCGTCTGTCAAATTGGCATGCGCATCAGTCGCAGGCGTATGGCTTCAAGCCCAAGTCCAGTCTCGTATGGCTTACGGCAACATGAACCATGTGCCGAAGGCAGGTTCGAAGTTGCCGCGAGTGGTGAGTACCACAGAATTAATTTGCACACGGTTGACGGCAGGCAAGTTGAGCTTTCTTTGGCTGTGTCTTTGAATTCAGGATCTTTATAGCATTGAGCCTTTGAAGCGCTGACGTATCTGTTTCATAGGCTTGACCTTGCGTGCCAGGATAGTGTCCATAGCCAACATACGCTAGAGTTAATACTTGGCGAAAGGAATCATTATGAATTGAGATTGGCTCCAGAGCCTCCTGCTTGTAAGAGCTGAAACGACGCGCAGCATGCAACATTGTATGGACACGCACGGTTGGTCACGACAGCCTGAAGTGCATGCGAGCAACATGCATCACAGCAGCGTGGTGCAATTTTGGCTTACGCTACAGTCTGTGGAGATGCGTGGGAAGTGCCGCATTTTCCCTTAGCCTCCTGTGCATCTACGAGCTAGGCTCTCAGTTTGGCAGCTGTGCTTCAATTCCTGCGGTGTTGGTGCTCGTCTCGCTGCAGATCGCTGAAATGGGAAACAGCGGTTGCTGTTGGGACCCTAGAAGTGTACCATGAGCACAGCTGCTATTTCCGTTCTTCTGAAGGTGGGGATAGGTCCTCGGACACGGCCCTCGAGGATGGGAAGGCTTGCCTTTTGTGGCAGTACTTGAGCTCCTGATCCGACTTGGCATCATGTCAGGCCATGTACACGTATTCAGAGGCGAGTTGGCTTAGCTTGAAGTACGTTCAGGGAGCCTCAAGGCTCCGCGCGTTTCATGCTGCCTTTCCCCTGCAGACCTACAAGTTCCCGGACGGAGTGGCTGCTGAAAAGTGCTTTGTCGAATTGGAGAATTGACGGGTACAGCTCATGGGATGGGTACAGCTGTACAGCTCCAGGCTTGATGAAGCAGAGCTGGAAGCGACCGCAAACGCCGCGTTGGCTTCTGGGTCTTTTTCGTCTGCTGTTTTGCAGGAAATGTCATGGCTTTGGACACGCTTCTGTCTCAGGCCCTCCGTGAAAAAAGCAGTTGAGTCGATCCTGGCAGCAAAGAATGCTGTCCCCGTTTTCAAGGCTGCCGGGCTGAAGAGTCTCGCCTGCCAGAGCAGAGGCATATTTTGCCTCGCGCCTGGTAGGAGCTCTTGAGCGACATCAGAGCAATGCAAAAGCCGAGCCAGAAGCAACCCGCCTGCACATGAAGAGAGTCTTCGTGCTTCAACGTCCATGCTGCAGAGGTTGGACCTCGAAACCGTAGCGTGTGGTCCTGATTTTGGTGAAGTGCTGGCATCTTAGCAGCCTCAAGAGCCGAGCAAAGCTGGCCATCTGATCCAAGGGAGAAAGTTCAAGCAGCATCGGACAAACTTGCTGAGTCTTATCCCCAGACTGCATAGCAGACTGGCGGCTACAGCTTGGATACACGCGTCTCTCAGTTGAAACCATGGGTTTCATTGCGTGTCAGGTCCCAGATTCGCCTGTACCTATGCAGCGTCCAGCAGAAGGTGACCGAGGCAAAAGCTGGGAAAACTCTTCGCAATCTTCGCACCTTTGCATATGTTTGCATATTCTCCGCTTGCTTTTGAGGCCAAGGATCCAGATTCAGAGAACACTGCGCACTTCAAGTGGATTCTGGTGGTGGATAAGGAGGTAGCCAAAGATTTTAAGGCGCCCTGTCACCACGTGCTGAAAGAGTAAGCAGAAAGCCACCGCGCGAAAGCCTTGGAGGTCATGCACGCCTACATGCCAATGATGACGCCCAAGGCTACTGATAAAGAAAGACAGTGTGCAGGGTTCCCAGATGGAACGCGGAGTGCCCAACATCCGGTTGAATCATTGCCTTGCTGGCAAGGTGGTGATGTAGATGAGCCAACGCATGGCAGTACAGTCAGATGAAATGAGAAGTCTTTCTATGTACAAATGTTTCACCATTGGCCTAGAGGGTCGTTGCACATGAGGACTTTCGTTCAGCATGGGTTTTCCGATGAACTGGTCACCAAGCCCTATTGCTGCATATGTGTGTGTGTGTGTGTGTCCAAGCAAAACTTGCAGATTCCATATCCTTGTGGAGGCCTTACCGTGCCTGTTCATTTGCATGGTTGTGACCAACTTCTTTCCGCTGCTGCTTGACGGTCGATTGCTTAGTCTGTGTGCACGCCGTCTGATAAACCGGCAGTGTAATGCAGGCAGTTATGTTTTGGAGCCCCGAATCGCAGAAGCTGTTCGGCATCAGAAAGAAGCACTTGTTTTGCTCTTCTTGTTTCAGTTTCCTGGTTCTGCTGAAGCCGTCAACCTGGCATCGGTCCGGCTTTTGGCCTGAGTTACTCCCTAGTAGGTATGAGTAGCAGACCGGGGCGGCCGTGCGGATGATGAATGAGTGGGAATGAGATGATCAGTTGTAGTCCAGACAATGTTGGAACGTTCAGCTAGAATGCCAGCTTTCAAATAAGTTCTATGAACGTTGTGTCATGGCTGGGCAGATGCTTATTGATGGGTCCGCTTTCCAAAGTGAGGGCCAGGCAGTGGTTCACCTCTCAGCAGCATCAAGGCCTGTACCGCGGCGTTTTACTGCGGACATTTGCCTTGTCATTGATGTCTCGGGCTCCATGCAGCTGCCTGCGACTGTGAAAGACCGTGAGGGTGCCGAGCTAAGCATACTTGACGTCGTCGCTCACAGCTGTCGGACAGTGATACACACCTTGACCGACTCTGACCGCATCGGCATAGTGACTTATTCAGACAAGGCTGCAATCGTATTGCCTCTTACTGCAATGGATGCCAGCGGCAAGGCTCAGGCAGAGGCAGCACTAAGCACACTTCGAGCGGACGGTCAGACAAACCTGTGGGATGGCTTGCGGATGGGGCTGGAGATGCTGCAGGACATGCAGGGCTCGGCGGGCTCGCGGTCTGGTACGATGTCGTCTGCCCTACTCCTGACAGATGGAGTTCCCAATGTTGACCCTGCAGGTGGGCACTTGGGTGCGCTAGAGGCTTACAGAAGCGCAGCAGGCGGCAAGCTCCCTTGCGCACTGCACACTTTCGGATTTGGTTCTGAGCTGGATTCCAAACTCTTAGATGACCTGGCAAGCGCTGGTGGAGGCCTCTACGTTTTCATTCCTGATGCTGGCTTCGTTGGAACGGCCTTAGTCAACTGCAGCGCCAACGCCGTGACTGCTGCAGGACACAATGCTGAACTGGTCATTCACATGGAGCCTGGCGTGCATGTGGCTCACTGCTATGGTTACCCTTCGCACCATCCTGCTGATGGTGTTTGTCACATACGTCTGGGGTCAATCCAGCTGGGACAGACGAAGGACAAGCATTGCAGATGTCGACTTCAGTGCGCTCGTTGTACACAGAGGTCCAGGTCATTTTGTCTTGTGTAGGCTTCTGGCTCGAGGCACTAGCCACAAGTGCAGGTAGCAGTGGCCTTGAGATGTAGTAAGGCCTTCAAGATCTTTTGGGGATGCGGCCGGCCTCGGCCATGTGGGAGCTTTTCAGATGCCGAGGCTCCGAGACAGCGGCTGGCCGTCCGGTACTGCTTGACCATGAGTTGCCAGCCTCAGGCCGTGCGAAGACTTATCCTGAGGTCTTTCAGCACACCATGCGACTGTCAGCGCAGCTGGAGAAGTTGGGACTTCATCCAGCTTCAAGGAATTTGGCGGTATGCTTTGATAGAACCTCCTTTGCAGCGGTGGTCTCACTGCTCGCGGCATTGTACCTGAACTGTCCGTACGTGCCCGTTTCCAGTGCATGTCCTGGTCTTGGTGAACCAGTTTATCGGTGTGCTGCAATTCTCGAAATGGTGGATGCCTGGTGCATTCTCTGTGGGTCTTCAACACTCGAGTTTGCCAGGTCTGTGTGGGAGGCATTTCAAGGCATCCGCATTGCCAGCCGCCGTGTGATTGACGTAGATGCACTGTCTGATGTTCAAGAAGATGAGGGCTCCGTGACATCGCTTCCGCACTTTGTTGCCGAACAGCAAGTAGTTCCCGCCCAAGGCAGGCAGGACATCCTTCACATCATATTTACATCCGGTTCGACAGGCCGTCCAAAAGGAGTGTGTGGTCTTCAAAGTGCCCTGCTAAATCGGCTTGACTGGCAGTGGATGCGCTTCCCGTGGAGAGCCGGTGAAGTGGCTTGTGCTCGAACTCCATTGACATTCATTGATCATGCCGCCGAAATCTTCAGTTCCCTCTTGGCAGTGGGTGGACCCGTTTTGGTGTGTCCGCTCTCGAATTCGCAGTCTTGTGCCCTGTTGACGTCGATTCGTGAATTTGCAGTCACAAGACTCGTTCTTACACCCACCCTCCTGAAGATTCTTTTGTTGGAAGCACAGAATTTTAAAGAGAGCCCTTGGAAGTCATTGCAAATCCTAACCTGTTCTGGAGAGCTGCTGACGCGAAGTTTGGTTGCGGAAGCCCGATGTCAGATTCCCAGCGATTGTCGGCTACTGAATATTTACGGGTCTACGGAAGTGGCGGGCGATGCTACCTGTGCGGAATTGCCTGGCGACGACGTCGATGATCACCATCTGCTGGTGCCGTGTGGTAGGGCAATCGAAGGTGTACGCATTCACCTCAGAATGGCGAAGATTGCTGATATGGAATGGGTGCACTTGCGGGAGAAGGATCCCGAGAATGGTGACGTTGGAGAGGTCTATGTGTCTGGCAGGTGCCTGGCGGCCGGGTACTGTGGGGAAAGCCCTGATGCATTTGGCATCGAAGTGGGTGAGGCATTTCCATTCTTCTCTGGCGAGCGCTGCTTCCGAAGCAACGATTTAGCCAAATGGCAGACAGCAAGTAACCGACAGCCAACTCTGTATGTTCTGGGCCGCTGTGGTCAGATGGTGAAGGTGCGAGGACAGCGAGTAGAGCTGTCTTTGGTAGAGGCCGCTCTGTGCTCTGCTGAGCTAGCAAAGAGCCTTCAAGTTTCAGGGCAGCTTTTTTCAGAAGCTGCTTGCATGGCAAGCGAGGACCAACTTCTTGCCGTTGCAGTTCTGGCTCCTGGCCACACGTTTGAAGTCACTACAAGCTTTCTGGGAACACTGCGTAGGCATTTGGCACATCTGCTTCCTGCTGCGTCTGTGCCTTCGCACGTGACAGCTGTCCCGGCGCTGCCCAAGCTTCCAAACGGAAAGGTAGACCGACGTTCCCTGAGCTTCCGAGTGGGCGAAAGTACGGAAACTGCGACAGATCTTCCCAGCAGCCATGAAGAAGGCTCCAGGGAGTCTCAAGTGGATGGGCTGGTGCGTAACACCTGGCAGAGCTGTCTCAATCTGCCGGCGGCTTGCCAACCTGATGCTTCCGCCTCCTTCTTTGTAGCAGGTGGTGATTCAGCAGGATTGATGAAGTTGGCATCGCAGCTCCGTCAAGGCTTTGTTGGATCGCCACCCGAGTTTGATGATGTGATGACGGCTGCCACCAAATCTTATTCAGCTTTGCTGCAACTTTGCTCACTTTCTATGCAGCGCAACACGAAACGAAAGTGTCCGGAGGCGCATGCCGAAAGTGTGGCGCAGGGGGCTCAGGGTGTAGGCCAGGCAGCCTTGCAGAGTGGAGCAGGAATTCGAAAGAGGACAGCTCCTACTAGCACTGCCGATAGCTGGCAGGGGAACTGTATGTGCTACACCCGTGGGGGTACATTCACTCTTGAATCGGCCATGCAAGTCCGGAGTGCTGCACTGAGCTTGGCTTGGCGAGGAGCAGCTCTGCTGGAACAGGCCTTTTACAGACTATAGAGATTTCTTTGAAGCAGTTGGGCTCCTAACAATTACAGCGTCATGAAACTACCATCTTCGTTATGCAGCGAAGCCAAACGCTTCAAGGATTTGCAGCAGTGTGTGGACGCGCCGCCGCTGCTTGTTCTGAGAACCTCGGAAGCGCTTGGCCCTCAGGCTTGGCTGCTGCTTGGATGCACATAGACCGTATAGTTGTCTTTTTTCAATGGTATGGTGATGCTCCAACCAGCCTTGTGAAAGGTCTTCAGCCCTCGCATGAGCCCCGCTAAGCCCAGCACCCTGCAACCTGCACGGGACCTTCGAGCGGAACAAAGCCCAGAGTCCTCCCATATTCCACTTGCAGAGCCCCCGGATTCTGCTCGAAGTGTTCTCATGGACCACTGTGGTGGCTCATGCAGGAATTCTTAGGGCCGCCCATCACTTAAGGCTTGTTGGGTCGCACTCAACTCAGCTGGGCTGCTTCATAGCAGAGGCTTGGCTAGACGATTGGTGAGGTCAAATCCGCGTGTACACGTCGAGGCTTAGAAAAATCATTTAATAACCATCATAGACTTGGTCATGCAAGGAGACAGGTGTCGCACTCTGGCGCACAGAGCTTTCCGACCGTATTGAGGGCGGCTGTGCTTGCGCATCCATCGCTGGCCGCCTCTTGGTGTACGCCGTCTGCCGCTCGGCATCACTTGCCTGTACCATACCAATTCCCGCATATTAGATCATGTTTCCTGATGTTTCTCCTAGGCTACGATGGAAGGATGCATTGTCTTGACCTTGTGTCCGGTTCTCGGCGCTGGTCCTCATCTGTTTCTCTGCCAACTGATGCGAATACGGAGATCAAGAGCGCTCCACTTGTTGATTCAGAAGCAGGCATCGCTTTGACGGGCACTCACGGAGGCACAGTTGCCGCGTTTTCAGCATGTGCTGGGCATTTGCTATGGCGCTTGCGGCTACCTGGTGCCATTTTCGCAACTCCTCTGCTCATGCCAGCCAGGGGCGAGATGTCGCTTGGGCCGAGGTTTGTTGTGTTTGTAAGTTCCGTCTGAATGAGTTATGACAGCAAGTACGGGTTGCTAGTCCAGGTACCTGTGTCTGACCAGGGGCCAAGCAATCTTCAAGTTCTTCTGCGGAGCAACCAGCGTGTCCTGGCTGTCTCATGATGTCATGTCGTTTGATGACTTTGAAGAGGGTGTCGGACCTAATTGCACTGTTCAAGTTTGCAATTCTCAGGACTTCAGCCAGAAGCCTGTGCAAGCTTGGTCCGTGCGCTTGGCCGCGCCAATATTTGCTGCTCCGGTTTTTGTGGAGGCATTAACTTCACTATTGGTGCTCTCTGTGGAGGGTCTTCTGGCACTTTTCACAGCTGGTGGCGATATCGTTTGGAGCTTGAGCCTGGATGGTCAGGCATTCGCAACACCATGTGTCCATGAAGGCCAGGCTTTTGTTGGCACACATGGGGGTGGCGTCTCGGCCGTGCGTCTGGTGGACGGACATTTGTTGTGGCGTTGTGAACTCAGCGATGTCATCTACGGATCACCTTTCCTCTTGAAGCCTGCGCAGACACGGGGCTGGGAGGACAGATGTTTGCTTGTGGCGACTCGAAGCGGTGTCCTTCATGTTCTTGATGCAGCACATGGAAGTCAACTGCAGCAAGCTCAACTAGAAGGGGAGGTTTTTTCATCACCGGTTTCCTGGAGTAGCTGTGGTGAACGCCCTGACACGGATGTCCTGCAACAGCATGAAGTGGCTACTGTCCATATAGCAGTTGGCTGTCGCGATAACCACGTGTACTGTTTCAAGCTGCAAGATCTTCAGCCTGCAAGCCTGGACACCGAAGCTGCTTCGTGGGCGACCAGCACTGGAAGTCAGTGTGATGCCAAGGAGGCCCCAGCTTGACTCTGACCGTCTTCAAGTTCCAAGATGTAATGTTCTGCTAGTTGCTAGTGGTAATGGGCTTGGGCTGTTCCAGCACGTTCCAGCACTGCGAAAATCTGAGCGGCGTTTCTCTGGAGGGATATCCACGCATTTTCCGTGGCCAAGCTTATGGACATCCGCTTAGCCACCGTGAATCTGTGCGGCTACGCTGTTACACTCGTATTTCTTGTTGGCGTATTGGCCCACTTATCTGTAACGACATGGATGTCATGGAAGCCTGGCTTGGCTCATCTTGCCGGCAGACATCTGCGGACATTGCCTGTAGGCTTGCTGAAGTCAGGCGAGCAACGGCCTCGCTGCGGGACCTATTTGGATCCTCAAGCAACAAGTCTGCCATTGGGGACTGATTAAGCTGCAGTGGCAGCTCGTTTTTGGCAACAAGCATTGTCAAGCAAGTAGAGAAAGGCATGCTTTGATTTTGCTATTCGAATTTGCAGAATGCAGCACTTGCTGAAATGTGGAACATGCTTCTACGAGAGTTGCTGACTTTTTAAATTGCAGGACGTTGTCCTGCGATTGGACGGACCCTCGGAGGGAAAACTGCTTCGGCCTTTGAACCGTTCCAAGAAAGCAAAACGCCGATGTAACGAATGGTGCCTCTACCCTTTGCCAAGGCTGCATGCCAAGCTACGATACGATGGCCCAGAGGGAGAAGGACACGCAGAGGCCCGTTGGGCAGCTTTGGCCATTTTCGTTCGGCAGTTTCTGCCACGAAATCATGCTAGGTAGAGGTATTGGCTTCTTCACATCCTCCTTCTGCGGAATGCAGACTTCAGCCTTCTGCTCAGATGCCAGTGCACTGGACGTGATATTTGCTGCCTCCTTTACATGGTGGATGGATGCACCTGGGGTCCTTAAATTCTGGTAGTTCCTCGAATTTTGGTGCAGGATTTCTTCACCAACAGCTCAATAGCTTCTTCTCTTCTTCTCTTTCGCAGATGCTGCCGCCTGCGACTTGTGGAAGTCTTGGATGGGCTGACTGATAACGAGCGCTTGGAGGCTTCCAGCGGTGTATGTGGCATGTTCTTGAGTTGCGATCCTCGAAGTATGTTGCAAGATGTTGCAAGGCTCCAGCGCAGGCGCCACGGTTTTGATTCACTTCTGATTGCTATGCTTCTTGCACCCTGGTTTTCCTGCAAGGCCTCGCAGTTCCTTCAGGAGCTACGACAGGTTCCAGACGAAGGCAGGGTAGCACATGGTAGCACGGCGTTGGAAGCGTAGAGCCTAGGCAAATGGCCAGCTCCCATCATCTCACATCTTGCTTTTTTGCGGCTTTGGCCTGCCAGAGAGAGAGAAACAGTATGAAACACTTCACACGCTGTGCAAAGCCTGCGAGAGACTCGGGCCGCTGGCCAACCGCCCAGAGCGGTAACGGGGCGATAGACGGAAGCAGCAAGGTGTATTCGCACAAGCCGCGGTAAAGGTGCTAATGAGGGTGCAAGAGGGGGACAAGCAATAAGGCTCGTTCGGAACTTCTGAACTTTCGCATCTACCGAAGCAACCTAGGGACTCATGATAAAGAGAAACTGGGGATATAGCTGCACTGTTGCTACTTTTGTTGAAAGAGCAGCTTCGGAACCAATGTCCTGAAAGTTGTCGGAGACGGGCGTCTGGCTGGCATTATCGAGGATGCCTTTGACTTAGACTTTGAAGTATTTGGCATGGCGCAGCAGGGCAAGCAGAGAGAGAGAGAGCATGTTGCATCGTGCAGCCCTCGTTGGCTGTGTTGAATTTGCAAGTCAATCAGGTCAGCGGACAAGTTGCTGAAGCTGTGTCGCGCCAGGCTGCGCAGCACTTGTGAGTAGCTTTCAACCGTCCTGCCAACGATATGAACGATATGCTTGCTTGGGAAGGATTGGTACGAGCGGTGAGCCCAGCACAAGGCTTGCCTTGAAAAGCATCAACAGATTGCTTCTGTCAGCGGTGTCGAGGTCTTGGGGCAAGCATTACTTGCGCTCGTTGTCACGTGCGCACCGGTCACAGCTTTGTAACAACTTCAAGGTGGCGCAGCCAGTGCTGAAGTTTTTGCAAATCCTTGTAGTTCATCGCAAGTATGAAAGTTGCTTAACTTGTGGATGCAACTTGGAAAGGATCCTGGTGTACAGCATTATGGTGGCGATCTTTTCCATGAGGCAGAGGGAGGCTGATGTGCTAGGAGCACTAAGAGCATATGCAGGTTCGAGATGCTGCGGACGAGATCTTCTTGAAGATCCCAGCTCCCAACCCCACTGCCTTGGACAGCGCCAGTGCCTTGGAAGTCGTTTTCTGGAGGCCTTCTGTGGTCCACAAAGCAATTGGCTTGAAGTCTTCGTGAATATGGGCAGGGCCAGCACTTCGATGAGGGGAATGCAAGAGTTTGGATGTCCGCGATGATCTTCGCAAGAAAATCCTGCACTCGAGCCACTGTACTTGGAGGCTTCAAAAGCAACTCGGGCTGTAAGAACCTTTAGGTCCCAGGATTCGTGTTGGTCTACCTGTCCCGGTGTTTCAAATGCATACATTTCCCAGATTACGCATGCTGGCTCAACTCCTTATTGCACCGGGATGAACATGCATGCATTTTCCCATGCATCCAGTGCATGCTGGCCCAGAACTCTGCCGAAATTCCACCTGCGTCCATTTGCCACATCATCCATGCTGGCCCAGATAGCGATGCCAGAGTTAACGCTTCACAGCTTTCCTGCTCTTTCTTTCAGTTCATTTGGGTCAGCATGGTTGCTCTGGGAATGGATGCAGTTGTAACACCGACGTGGGCCAGCATATGCCAGGAACTGGGATGCTGCTAACCTGCCATAACTCGAAGAGCTGCATGAGAGGGAGCAGCGCACTCGTGCAGGTCTTCAAGTTCTTATGCAACTCTTTTAGGCTGTGAATCAAAAACGCTGGGTTTGTAACAGGCTTGGGTGGCCATTCCGCGACATAGGTTTGTAACAGAATCTCCTGGCTTGCGACAAGCACCTTTGCGACAAGGTTCTTTTGCAGGGCATACCTGCGCCAAGCATTCGCGACAAAGGCATGTAACAACAGGCCGCGACACAGGGGTATTTAACAGGGGGTGGGGGGGCCCGCGACAAAACGGGGTTTTGATTCACAGCCTTTTCTCGACAGAATTTCCCACGAATAACATGTTGTTTGGGCTCTTCCTTTCAAAAACGGCGCGATAGTGCAGGCTTACAGGTCGATGGTACGCAGGATGGAGAATAGGCACTGCCTCTTGAGGCGGTTCACCTTACTGCCTTGGACATGCGGTCCGCGACTTCCCAGCCAAAGGATGTTAAAGGTAGAGGCTGGGTGCATCCGCCGTTGTAGCAGGAGACTGAGCAGAAGACTTCAAGTGTAAGTCTAAAAGATCAGAGGGAGGGTGCAGTCACTTTGCAGTGACTGCGTCATGGGAGATGGGAGTGGCCGATGCTAGGTGGGGCCTGGATCATAACCATCAGCAGCTCGCCGGTTACGCTTTGGCCAGACGTGTGCAAGAGGTATTATGCTCACGCGAGCCCAAATTGTTTCCACTCTTCTTGCATCGTGTGCTGGCAGATGGACCCCAGGTTGAGACGCTAAAAGCCATGGGCTTTGCTGAGGAGGAGGCAGGCTGCGGAGCCGATTCGTAGTTTGGAGAGCACATAAGCTCGGATGCAGGTGCGACGAGCATTAGAGTACGCCTACAACAATGTGGAAATGGCCGCTTCGTATCTTATGGAAGGTCTGGCATGCCTCAGTGCCTCAGGTGTGTTGCAGCACCCAGAGTTGTGTTGAAGGCTTCCCTGCCTATCGACCGCCGCCGGCACGTGGTGCGGGACCTGTAGTGAAAAGATTCCTGCAGTTGAACATCCGTGTCCCGAGTGCAGGTGCTGGACTGCCATCCCCTACAGCGGTTGACATGTCCATGTACTACGACGCTTCAGGCAGTGTTACCAACACTTGAGAAGCTCACAGCGCTCACCGCAAATCGTGGGCTCTGCTGCACTTACGGGGTCACCTGCCAGGTGGATGACCAACATCCTCCGAGCCGATCCCGTGCGTCTCCCAACAAGTGTACAGGCGGAGCAATGCGCGAGAACATCTTTTCGCCTCAGCTGTGTGATCAGGGAGCAACATTTTTGCATCAGTGGCTACAAACGCTTGCGGCCTAACCCTCATTCCGTTTGGTGCTCAAGCTACTACAAAATGTTACATGTTGCAACCATGGTATAACTCATATGTAAGTGCGTATCAACTGGGCCACATGCCAGCATCTGGTCTGCATGCAGCGAGGTCCCTAGCACGTGTAGGCGAGACCTGCTTGCAGATACAGACATAAACCAACAGTTGTCGCGCGATGTTGCATCGCCGGCGACGCCCTGCGCCTACAGATGAGTTGTGCCCGGAGGCTTCATGCTTTTAAGCAAGTCCGTCATTTTGGGAGCCAGGGCTTTCGCCCACTTTGCGTTGCACATTGGTAGATGGCATGCCAGATTTCCAGAATCCATAATGTTGGACATGTGCTAAGACTGTAATGTATTGCACTACGCAGCTTGATTTTGGAAGAGTTTTCCCGATGCCCGCAGCTTAATGTCACCGTAGCGATGCAGTCATTTCATGTTGACCAGGCTCAGTTCATGTGTGGCACGTGGCAGGTGCCATTGCTCTGGAAACGACAGCTGCGCAAGGCTTCAATGCTTCATGTCTTTCGCAGTCAGCCCGCTTGGTTTGGCCTCAGACCGATAGTGCCGATAGTACTGTAAAGTTCAGTCAAGAGGCTCCGAAGCTTCCGCGTCTCGACAAGATGCGGATCACCATACCAAGTGAGCGCTTCGCACTTGGGGCAAGTTGCTTGAGATTCGATGCTGTGTGTGAACTGCTTGTGTCAAGGCTTGCTGCAACGAAAGCGATTGCCCAAAGGAGCTGCGCTGTTGTTGCGCTGTAGCCTACTGTAGCTATGGTGGCGGTGGCTTCTGACATGTTGTGCGTTGCCAGGCCAGTGGTGGGAATCGATAGAGGCACTCCTTCCAACAGAGGCCAAGGCAGCGTTGCCAGAATTCTCATCAAAGGCCAGCAGCATAAGTGACGACACCTGCCATTCTGAAGCGCAAGCGGCAGTGGCGAGAACTCTCATAGCAGACATAATGGTGGCACAGACTGAAGACAAGGAAACAGCTTTGTGGACCGATGTCGACCTTGATCTGAACTTGGCCGAATTGCACTCTGCAGATGTGAATCAGGTTGTGGCAAAGGTTTTTACCCAATTGACAGCATCCTCACCTGCCGAAAGTGAGGGGCGTTCTGCACGCGCACTGGCTCGGAGTCCCGAGGGTTTGCACTCCGAGATTGCGCAGGAACTTTCCTTTCGGATTTTGGCCAAGCAGGCTCCAAGTTCTCGAGGTGAGATGTCTGAGTCGGCAGCGCCTTCGCAGATCTTGGGAGCGATCACCACACGCTGGCAGAGCGAAGCACTGGAGTCATCTCAAACAGCTTTGGCTCCGCTGGCTTCCTTTGAGCTGCCCAAATCAGAGCTCAGCGTGCAACTGAGTGTCTCAGACACGGACTCCCTGGTGGCTCAGATTGCCAAACGCGCCCTGGGATCGCCCAGTGGCTCACAACTTGCACCTCTCGCTGAACCAGACCTGGAGCAAGCTTCAGATGAAGGTGCTGCGGAGCACGTTGCTAGAGATGTGGTCTCAATTGTAAGCCGGCCGCATGAAGCCTCCAGGCATGCTTCAAGCTCAACTTCGCAGCATGATTTGTCTGATGGGAATACCGACTCCATTGTGGCTCGGTCCATTGCAAGGCAGGCAGTCGGCCCTCTGCTCTCGGAGCTAAGACTCAGTGCTGGCAACGAGCAGTCTGAAGATGCAGTGCAGGATCTCGGCTTAGAGAGATTTTTCGAGGACGCGATCTCTGCAGCCGTGGTTCGAGACGTTGTGTGGACGCCTCACCAGGGCATGCACATGAATGAGGAATCCGATCTAGAACCCTGCGAAAACACAGACTCTATGGTTGCAGTTTCTGTTGCGCGGCAGGCCATTGGTCCGCATTTGGCCCACACGCCACAACATAGGAGTCATGGTGTTGAAGAGGTTGAAGAACCAGCTCCGTCAGATGCAGATTTTGGTGCCCATGCTGTGGCCAGAGATCTGGTGACTTCTGCAAGTCGACAGCAAGCATCGGAGCAAAGAGGACGGGCAAGTCCAGATTCCCAGCACCAGGTCTCAGAAAACACGGACTCGATGGTCGCGAATTCCATTGCACGTCAAGCCGTTATGTCACATTTGGCTGACTCGGATTCTGCCACTCCGCCACAGAGGAGTCATGCGGCCGGTGTTGAAGAGGTCTTGGGACCAGCTCCAGCAGATGTTGATTTTGGTGCCCATGCCTTGGCCAGAGATCTGGTGACTTCTGCAAGTCGACAGCAAGCGAAAGAGCAAAGAGGACGGGCAAGTCCAGATTCCCGGCACCAGGTCNNGTCATGCGGCCGGTGTGGAAGAGGTGACGGGACCAGCTCCGTCAGATGCTGATTTCAGCGCCCAGATTTTAGCAAGAGATCTTTTCAATTCTGCAGCTGATGTGAGTGACGAGAAGACACCGTCAGTGCAGTTGGAACCCTCAGAGGCTGGGGATGCAAGAGCTGTTGCCTTCCAAACCGTCGCAATGCTCAGTGACAGTGTTGGACTGGCGCAAAGCTCTGCGCGTGTGCGTGGGCCATATGGCCAATTGCAGGTGCCGGAGAACATGTCACCAGCTGTGCGAGTGCCTGCACCATCAAGTCCGGTCTCGCGAGTCTCGGAAACAGACGCAGGCTATGTTTACCCTGCAGTTGCCGAGATGACAGTGCTGGCTCGACGGCTTGAGCAGGAAGGCATGCATAGCGAAGGCGTGGAGGTTCTGCAGGAGGAGGTACAACCAGCACCAAGCAACCCCCTGATGGAACTTGTAGCCGGAGGGCTACATGACAACAGCGATGCTAGCCCAGCTTCTGTCGGCGTATCAGAAGGATCTGTTGATGCGCGTTCGCTGGTGCACGAGGCTCTGGCTCTGAGTGAGGCGCGGCCTTGAAGGCCAGGACATTGGACAAACAGCTGTAGGCACTGTAGGCCAAGTGGGTTCAAGTGGAAATCGAGGTCCAGGACTTGGGTCGCAGCCGGCGGCCCGTCTCCCTGGTCTCGCATGGCTCTTTTAGACTTGACAGGTGAGGTATTCGAAAGGAAGGCTGTGCGGCCACGCGTCCAGCGGCGTTTTCCAGGAGCCTTTGCAATTCTAGCTCTCCCTCATAGCTGAGCACTACCTGATTAAGCAGGTGCTGTGCCAGATGCCGTGTCGCTAAATGGTGATGCGGAACGTTTATAGTCACATCTTGTTGGTTAAAATTCAGGGGTGGCTCCGCTGTTGGGATCTTTGAGAAGTGTTGTCTTGGTGTGGGAAGCTGCACCGGCAGTGGATGACCTATCTGGCTCAAGCAGCTAAGCAATCTGGTTGAAAGATTCGAGTTCTCAGGAAAAGCATCGGTACTGCCAGTGTCGCGCTTTGATTGAGGTTGAGTTTCCGACAATTTAGATGAAGTTTGGTTGACACCAGTTCGTGGAAGCACGGAAAGTGCTCATGCAGACAGTCACGCCCAATTAAGTGAAAGCAAGTTAAGAATTCGAGGCAAATGCAGGGATGGACTGCTGAGATCTGCTGAGTTTTTCCGTCCACGGATGGATTCTGCGTACAGCTGGCAATGTCAACAGGTTGCGGTGCCTCCGCACACTCTCCTGCTTCGGCGCTTTCTGGAGTACGAGCAGGAAAGTGCTACGGGCCAATCGCAGCCGGTTCTGGTGCTTGGTGCAAGAGACACCCATACAAAGGATCCTCCAGTTCGTGATTCAGACTTGGTGGCTGTTTGTCTGGTGGTGCGTGCCATGTCAAGAACAGCATCGCTGCCCTTGGTGCGACTTGATCTTACGGGAGAGCTGATCAGCTGCAACGGTGCCAGAACAATTGCTGCTGTCCTCCAGGTTAGTTCCAGCCTTTGTTCCGTGCTGCTGCGGCGGACTCATGTGGGAGATGATGGCGCTGCAGCTTTGGGGGCAGCCTTGAGGCAACTAGCAGATTTTGTCGGTGCTGTGTAGTCCCCTTTGGCATGTTGACATGGGTGCAGTTCATTCCTGTTTTCCGACATTTTTCTTGAGGCAGCGCTGAGCTGCAGCCTGCTGCAAGAATTAGATCTGGGGGAGTGTGCAGTCACTGATGCAGGCTGGGCTGTGAGTTAGGGGAAAAGCACAGGAGTGATTTGAGGCTGGACATCAGCTTTTGGTGTACTTGGTTTCTTGTGCTTCTTAGTTGCTGAGCTGCTACAGGCATCAGATACCTGGTGCGCGGCATGCAAGTTCACGGTGTACCACCCTCCTTGAAAACGCTGCTGCTGGACGGGAATGCAGTTGGAGATGCTGGTGCCATCGAGGTTATCAGTTTGGTAGAGGAGAGCACGTCGCTATCGATGCTCAGTGTTCATCCGGCACTGCCCCGCTTTCTCTCAAAGGAGGTCGCCGCTGAAGCATCTTAAGCAATTGAGCTCACTGTTAGATAAGACAGTCAATATTAGCTCTACTAAGGGGCCCTGAACAGTGATCTCTTGTGATTTAATATCGTCCCGGATAGAGTTCCTGACAAGGAACCCATGTTAATTAAATTATGTTATCTCACATGAGCGAAGAAGTCTTGACCGCACAGGTGGAAGCAGCCCTTCAAGTGGCCTGTGAACTCAGCCGGGTGAACTTGGAGTACAAGGGACATCCTCTGGCCTTCTCAGCCCTTGCGGCGACAAGTCAGCCCCCAGGCCGAGCAGAACTTCCACAGGCCGCCCCTAGAGAAAACCGGCTTGGTCCGGCTTAGCAGTGTGGTAGCTCCTTACATTGGTTGAGTGCGATCTTCTCCCAAGGCCAGCGCCATGGAGACTGCTCGGGAAGCGAAGCCCACAGCGCAGGCGCCGAAGACGCAGGCGCCGAAAGCGCAGGCGCTGAAGCCGGTGCCAGACGTGTGGCTCTCCTTTGAAGTTGTCACATTTGGCACTGCAATTCCCGCCTCTTTTGCTTTCAGAGCTGCCGAGGCGGAGTAGCGAGCACCTGGCTTCCTGGATGGCTGCCACGGAGCGGGAGCTGCGGGAGCTCAAGTGGCTGCTGCGCTCCAGCTCAGCAAGGCTTGATGGGCAGCACAAGACCCTTGGAAGAAAATTCATAACGCCATGCCTTTTGCATTCTCCTGCTTCCCTTTCGCAGTTCTGTCTGAAACACTCAGAAAGCTGGTGGGAGAGTTGGAGAAGCTGCAAACACAGCTGGATACTTGGGCGGTGGGAAGTACAGAGCCCTCAGAGGAAGCTCGCCTTGACGTCTTGGAGGCCTGGCGTTTGCTCTTTGTTGCGCTGGTTCATCCCTGAGGAGTGTACTAATGACAGGCGCGCTTTGATGCGATCGAGCAGCTGGTGGGCAGAGAGCAGTCGGAGTGTGCGCAGTGCCATGGCTGCAGCTTTTCCAACGCATTTGTGCGACTAGCGGCCTGCGAGACCTGCACAGAACAGGATGTGGCAGCTGGTGGAAGTGGCGGCTGGAGCCAGCTCCAGGAAATGATAAATCCTGTTGGTCTGCTGGTGTGATGCGAAGTCATGCGAGGGAGACCCTGTAAGCCCTGACACGTGTTCCTCTCGCCACCATCTCGCTCTGCCCTTTTGCCCACACAGAGTCGAAGCAGGTTCAGCGTACGGTTTTCAAGTCGCTCAGACGAGATTCAAGATCACACACAACAGACATGCCGTTGCAAAAGCCATGCCATCGCAACAGCCATGCTTTTTAGTCGTGGTAAGTCAGAACCCAAGTAGCTACATTGTGGAGTGCGCTTCGTGCAGCATGGCTAGCCCAGAGGACCGAAGCAGCGTGGATGTAGGGCTGCTTGGTGCTTACTGAAGCCGTTTGATATCTTTTCTCGGTTTGAGGGTGTACCCATGCCCCTGCGTTTTTATTAGGTCACGTAGCGTAGCCGCTCTGTAGTGTCATATTTTTGGGACGCAGGTATAGCTTTGAAATGTATACACATTTCTCTATTTTTACTTCTCAGTCCCTTCGTGTGTTTACATAGCTAGTTTCCTTGTGTTCCCTTTGGACGGTACGTATTTCCTTTGGATGCTTAGTTCTCATCATAGTTGCAGTAGGAAAGCTGAAAAATCAAAAGCAAAGCACAAACAGGTCGACAAAATCCTTAAGAAAGCCCAGAAATAGTTGCCTGTTTTTGTTTTGGTTTTGGTATCCGAATTTCTTTACCCAAATGGAAGCTGGTACTCAAAAGCGTGCTCTCGAGCTGGTTTTGGTTTCCGAGCCGAAAAGAAAAAATGCTGGCCAACAACCGGATCTTTCACTTCCCTCAAGTCCCAAGGCTGCTTTTGCTTTTTGAATTTTGCACAGAGGAGAGAACCTACTTCTAAAGAAAACAGATATCAGATAGGTTTGATTCTACACAGGTCCTAGTCAATGAGTTGTTGCTTTTTGTTACTTCTTGTTGTTTTTTGTGACAGATTGTGAAGATGATAGTTATCTACAAGCCAAAAGATGCAAGCTTTGTTTCTCTTATATCTTCCGCTTTGTTTCTCAGTATCTTTGTTGCAGAGAAGAGAAGTTCTCTTCCGTTCTTGAGAGTAGAGGTGTTGTGCTACCTAGAAGGAGCGTAAGTAGTGAGTCGTTTTTTGTTCCCTGGCTTATACTCGGACCTGACTGCTTCGTGATGTTGTATACATTGTGTACTATGTAACAGGAAGAGCATTTCCTTGATGTGCAAACAAACCGTGCGTCTTGATCAGAAACACCAACCCCTCTCCATTGTGAGGACAGAGCTCAAGCTCCAGTTGATTCAGTTGAATTTCCATGCGAACAACAAACACCTGCAAGGAACTCGAGCTTCCACCTCTGTCAAGACAATTGTATCTCTTTTTTTGCATCTTTATGTACTGATGTGCAGATATATTGAAAACTTCCATAGGTCCAAAATGGGCTAAACTGCATTTGCTATGTTCAAGAAATGGGTTTTCTTTGGGCTGATAAGGAACTATGTCTCCGAACTGTGTTTCCGAGTACAATAGCTAGCTTTTTTTTAGTAAGATAGCCAATCTAACAGAGTTTCTTTCAAAAACCGTTGTGGAACAACAGAACTCCACGAAAAACAGTTGTATCAGTTCTAAACTATCCTCACGTCAGATTCGTTCAGAGAAGCCATCTAAATTCGAACGGAAGAATCCAAAACACCTAGGAGTTTGATTAGTTCTGCTTCGTGCACAGAGTCTCAAGGTGGGTGATGGTTTGGCGGGGCTCTATTGGAGCCAGAGAATCATACAGTATTACATAATCAGGAGCTGGTCAATTGATATCTTGAAAGGAGTTTGAACCTGATGCTCTTCAGCTGCCAGTGTCTATGAAGCATGTTATAGCTGATAGCTCCAAGAGATAATGTTTCTATTTCGGCATGAGAACTCATTGAATCTGGAGTTCTATAACAAAGTCCACGGGCCAAAGTACGCCGATGAACCCTACCTGCTAGTCTCCACTGCCTGGGTCAACTGCAAGACGGCCACTCTAAAACTTGTTATTTATTTATTTATTTATCTTTTTCTTCGTTGGTTTTTCGTGACACTGTTTTTTTTTTTTTTTTTTT